GCCGGCCGGCCGCTGGAAGGCGGCACTGGGGCAACGGTTCTCTTGGGTCATCCGGCCGTCGGCTTAAAGCCTGCCAGTTAAACTGGCGGCGGGGCATCCTGGGGCGGGCGGAAGGATACAGGCGCCGTGCGGCCCCTGTCGGCCGGCCGGCGGGACGGCCCGAATGCAGCGCGGCTTCAGCTGCGGCCTCGGCCCTGAAACCGGCCGCTGGCGAGCGCCGGGGGAGTGTGGGGTGTGTGCTCCTGGGAGACCGGCTTGGCGCCTTCTGGGAAGGCTGACGGAAACGATGGCGTCTCTGGGAAGGGGAGCAGTTAGTAACGCGCAAGATGGGCGCCGGGCTTTGCGTCGTGACATTTGGGGCTTCCTGCCAGACTGGGGAAAGAACGTTTTCACCCCGGTAAACCGAGCTCAGCTGTATCGGTGCAAGTCGGCGTCATCAATCGACAGTGAGAGAAAAGGGAGTCAAATTCCAGCCATCTGCTTCCAAAGAAATTACCCTTTCTGCATCTGGGAGTAATAAAGAATGTAGCATACAGTTTGTCCTTAATTACAGCCTAGTATGTGAGCTGCTACTTTACAATCAATTTTATCGTTCTAACTTACTATCCATGATTTCTCTAGCTCTATTAGGACAAGTAAATACTTCCCTCTCTTGCCAGCAGTCATAAAGTTGGTGTAGGCTGAATTAGTCTGTCAGCTGGGTTGCACAGGTATAAAACATTGTCGCTCGCTACATCAGTGTTGAAGATGCTCCAGAACTCTGTCATGACTCTTACTGGTAGCAGAAATAATATATTTGCCACAGATTAGACTCCAATGTATGTATCTGCACATCCATATATATATATATATATATATGCATGAATACACTGATTTTCATGTGAGAATGTGAAACATTTTGAAACCCAAGCCACACATTTGACATGGTTAGCCAAAAAAGGGGTGAGTTTTGTGTGATTAGTGACTACAAGGATAGAGGGCTTGAATTAATTCCTTTGAAGTCTTATTTTAAACTGAAAAATTTATGCTGTGATTATTGTTCATGGTTTCCTGCTTCTGTCCCTACATTCCTCTGCAAGTACCTTGCAGGTATTTGTTTTAAGCGTTCAAGATGCTGATTTACAGATGAAGCCATCACAGCATGGAAGAGTCAGTGAAATAACAGAGTAGTTCTTAATATCAACATTAATGTAGCAAATTGATATCCCCATGCACAAATGTAAACATAACAATACTAAAAATGCATATAAGCCAAGCAGGACAAGAAATTGAAACTTTCCTTATAAAAGAGATGCAGAGATATACTGAAGGCTGCTTCTGTTCTGTGTATTTCTACTCTGTATATACATTACTTAACATTTTCTTTTATATCAGTGGAATTTAAACAAGTTTTCCCAATATTTACCTGGAGTTTGGCTATTTTTTTTGTTATGTTCAGAAACTGGGCCCCCCCTCTTGTCTTTCTGTAAGGCAGATGAAGGTCTAGCTCAGATACACCATAAGATGTGGGACTGTAAACCTTCCACTGGTGCCTGTTATTTGTGTTCATGAGCATGTAGAAAATACTCTTGCATTTTTTACGCTTTGTCAGCACTTAGTTATTTTAAATTTATTTTTACAAGGGTAGATTACA